CCCTACTTTCTTCAATTTAAGTCTGAATTTGGCAATAAGGAGTTCATGATCTGAGCCACAGTCAGCTCCTGGTCTTGTGTTTGCTGACTGTATAGAGCTTCTCCATTTTTGTCTGCAAAGAATATGATCAGTCTGATTTCGGTGTTGGCCATCTGGTGATGTCCATGTGTAGAGTCTTCTCTTGTGTTGTTGGAAGAGTGGTGAAGAGACGCCAATGGAGACAGAAATGAAGCCTTTCCAGGCACCTCCGCTCTTCTGTGAAAACCACCATGAGAGGCTGGAGCTCCCCAGAAGCCCAGTTGAAAATCACCCACAATGCAAACATCCCTCCTCACCCCATAGACACACCCCTCACCCTCCTGTCCACTTCTTCTCCCAAAGAGTCTTTAAACAAAAAGGCAAAATATAAACTTCCAGGTCACAATCAGAACTTTTCCTCTTTATGTCAAAGAACAGAGATGTCAAAATAACAATGTTGGTGGTATGTTTGGATCTCTAAACATCTTTTCCAAATACTGTAGAAAATCTGAAAGTTTGTTCTGATTATGTCATTTTTCTCTTCTAGGATTCTAATCAGTACCAGTTTGGCAAAACCAAAATTTTCTTCAGAGCAGGGCAAGTGGCTTATTTAGAAAAACTCCGGTTGGATAAACTGAGGCAGGGTTGTATTGTGATACAAAAGCACATCCGTGGCTGGCTCCAGAGAAAAAAATTCCTCCGAGAGAGACGAGCAGCCGTGATCATCCAGCAGTACTTCCGGGGTCAAAAAACTGTGAGGTATGTTGGAACCAGGAGTGAAAATTGTGCGAGTTTTAGTCGCTCAGTCGTGTCCAACTCTTTGAGACCCCATGATCTATAGCCTGCCAGGCTCCTCTGTCCAAGGAATTCTTCAGGCAATTGGAAAGTGGATAGCTATTCCCTTCTCCAGATCTGCCAGACCCAGGGATCAAACCTGGGTCTCCTGCATTGCGGATTCTTTACCCTCTGAGTTGGAACCAAGCAGACTTGAGCAACTGTATGACTTTCTTCCCTATCACCTCCAGAGGGTGGGGCCTCTTTCCTCCCAGGACCCAGGTGCAGATGTGTGTGTGGGTCCACAGGTGACTGTGAGCCTCAAGAGCAGATGGATGTGTCCTTGGGGGCCGTGGTGCTGACTCTGCTTACTGTCCCCACACAGCAGAGGTGGCAACCAGGCCCTTGATGAGAGAAAGCCCCGATCAGGGTGTTGCTGAAGAGGGCCAGAATTCCTGGTGAGACCAGGCAGAGAGGCTGAGCCACTATTCCTTGGGAACTGAAAACGCCTAAGGGTGATAGGGTCCAAGTGACGCTTCTGAGTAAGGACGCCCCAGCCTATCTTGCAGGTAGTGGGGTCAGACCATGCCTGAGGAGACTGTGGCAAGGCTCTGCCCACAAGCAATGAGTCCCCTGGGTCGGGCTGCCCGAGTGGAGGGCACAGCCGTCCCAGCCCTCTGTAAGCGCTCCCAAGAGGCCATCCTGGGATGGCCAGCAAGAGGAGCACCCTTCCTGGATAGCATTTTGTGCATCTCTGTGTCTGCCCAGCCTCCCTCCGTCCCTCGCTGTGACTGTAGTAGGAGAGCCATGTTTTTAAGGACAGGCTGTGTCGCTCAGGTTCCCCCATCCTGAGCCTTAAGCCTGACCTCCAACAGTATCTGGGCTCCTCCACGTGACTGGCACACCAGTCTTCATCTCAGCACACCACAAACTGGGCTAGCCATTCCACCACCCTGCCCCTATCTCCTGGCCCACACTCCCCTAGGCAACCCGTTATACATGCTTACAGTTAGCCTTGCTCTCCCTCTCAAGCCTGTGGTTTCAGTTAATAGCAGGAGTCCCCAGGGCAGGAAATCCAGAGTTACCTTCTTCCCCAAACTCATGCTTCCTCCGTTTGCCTCCTGTGTCTGTCCCGCTTATTTCATTCCCACACCCCTGCCCTGCATGAAGCCTTCCTCATCGTTTGTGTTTCACTCTACAGCACAGGCCTCTGCCTGCTGCCTTTCCTTCCTAACTTCTAAAGCAGGGCCTCACAGAGCTCCTGCTTCTGCCTCTCATGCTTGCAGTGGCCCCTGTTTCCCAGAGAAGGGCACTCAGCCTTTGACATGGTACTCATGGGTCCCCATGGCTTGGATGGAGCCTTAAGCATGGATGCTCTGGTAGGACAGCGATGATATTTGTGGTTGCCTCTGCATCCGTATCTAGGATGCAGCACACTGACTGTCACATAGTACATGTTCAGTAAATACATATTTTGATAACAAACAGTCCCCATCTATTTTTTTCACCTCACTAACTACCAGTTTTCTCCATGTATCTTATATTCTAGCAATTCCAGACAAATTCTCTTTTTTTGAATGTTTCAGGCACTGCTAGGCCTCCATGTCTTCACCTGTCCCTTAGTCTGAACTACCTTTTCCAGCCTTTACTGTCTTGAGAAATCCTACTTTTCTGTCAAGTCTGGCTGACATGTCAGTTCTTCCCAAGCAGAATGATAGTTCAGGAAGATCTCTCTTACAGATCTTTTAGTAGTTATTTTATTTTTCTTCTTATCCCACTTGACCATTTCTAAGTCTGTTTTACAAGGTCATAAACTCTGCAGGTAAGAACTTTCTCTTCACCTCCAGGCCGTCAGATAGGAGTAGACAAACTTTTTCTGTCAAGGCCAAATATTTGGGCTTTTGGGGGTCTTGCGGTTTCTCTCACAACTATTAAACTCTACCTTTGCAGCATGAAATCAGCCATGGGCTATATGTAAATAATAAGTGCGCTGTATTCCAACTAAAGGTGACAATAGCAGGCAGGAGGGTGCAGCTGTGGCCCCAAGGTCATAGTTTTTCAACCCCTGATCTGGAGGCGCCAGCGTGATCTCCCACATGATTGACTAGATGAATGAGCAAGTGCAATGCCGAAGCACAGTTGTGTTGGCACAGCCTCTGGGGTACATGAGTGACGGTGGGGTGATTGGCCTGAATGTGAAGAGTGAGAAAGTTCCCATGTGGTGCTCATTCCTGAAACAGATCCATGTTCAGATCAGGATGGAAAGAAGCAGTAACACTGATCTTGACTAGATGTTAGCATAAACCATTCCAACGTTTAATGCATAATTTGCAGAACTTCGGAATATGCCTCAGTTAAGAAGTATTGCACAAGCTGGTTGCTCTGGGGTGGAAGTCAGTGCCCCATTAGTAACAGGTTTACTCTACATTCTTCTTAACCAAGGAAAGCGGTTACTGCCACAGCCTTAAAAGAAGCATGGGCAGCCACTGTCATTCAGAAGTGCTGTCGAGCGTATCTCGTCCGCAACCTGTACCAGCTGATTCGCGTGGCCACCATCACCATCCAGGCCTACACCCGAGGGTTCTTGGCAAGGAGGAGGTATCAAAAGGTGTGACTTTCTGGGATATGAATGTCTGTTCATATGTGTCTGCTGCAGCTAGGATTTGGTTATTGTTTCCAAAGTCTACATAGGAGAAAATATCTGCAAATGATGCTACCAACAAAGGATTAATTTCCAAAATATACGAATAGCTTATATTACTAAACACAACTCAGTCAAAAATGGGCAGAAGACCTAAATAGACATTTCTCCAAAGAAGACGTGCAGATGGCCAAGAGGCACATGAAAAGATTCTCAGCATCACTAATGATTTAGAGAAATGGAAATCAGAACTACAGCGAGGTAGCACCTCACACCAGTCAGATTGGCCATCATCAAAAAATCTACAAATAATAAATGCTGGAAAGGTTATGGAAAAAAAGGGAACACTCCTACATTTTTGGTGGGAATGTAAATTGGTGCAGCCACTGTGCAGAACATATGGAGGTTGCTTAAAAAGCTAAAAATAAAGTTACCATATGATCCTGCAATCCCGCTCCTGGGCATATTTCTAGAACAAATTCTAATTTGAAAAGATCCACCCACCCCTATGTTCATAGCAGTGCTATTTACAGTAGCCAGGACCTGGAAACAGCCTAAATGTCTATTCATGTATGTATGAATGTATAAACAAGATGTGGTACATATATACAATGGAATGTTATTCAACCATTAAAAAAGTATGAAATAATGTCACTTGCAGCAACATGGATGGGGCTTGAAATTATCATAGTAAGTGAAGTAAATCAGAGAAAGACAAATATCATATGCCATCACTTATACATGGAATTTTTTAAAATGATACAAATGAACTTACTTACAGAACAGAAATAGACTCACAGACATAGAAAACAAACATAGGGTCAGTTACCAAGAGGATAGTGGGAGGGGAATAGAAAAATTAAAACTTTGGGATTAACATATATACACTACAATATATAAAATAGATAAATTACAAAGACGATACTCTATACAAAGAGTATACACAGGGAGCTATATCTTGTAATAACCTATAGTGCAAAAGAATCTGAAAAAGAATATATATATATATAGGTATAACTGAATCACTTTGCTGTACACTTGAAACTAATACAACATTGTAAGTAAACTAGAGTTTAATTTTTAAAAATCTAGGAAAAAAAAATGGGTAACAGAATTGTGTGGGTTGATTACGAGAAATTGGTATTTCACCCTGTAGAAGTATCCTGGTAGTTACATCTCCCAACACTGGAAGAGTTGATGAGAAAAACAGAGAACCATTTTGCATTTCACAAAATCTTCTTTTAAAGATGCTGAAGGAACACAAGGCTGTGATCCTTCAGAAATATGCCCGGGCCTGGCTGGCCAGACGCAGATTCCAGAATATCCGACGATTCGTGCTCAACATTCAGCTCACTTACAGAGTTCAGCGTTTGCAGAAAAAGCTAGAAGACCAGGTAAGTGTTCATAATGCATCCTTCATATTTACTCTAATAGATTTATTTTAGTTCCAGACCGGTTCCTTAACTATGCTGTTGATAAAATAAAGTTATTTTAAGGCAAGACAAGAAAAATTGAACACAAAGTTTTCTCTGCCGTTTGAGCCACAATGTTATCCCCTTTAGTGGACATTGCGCATCTGCAGGATACAACAACTGGATCCCCTTAGAAGACCCAGAAATGACTATTTACCACCCCTCCCCCACCCCACCCCCTCAAAAGAAAGCAATTTCCTTCAGGTACCAGCAAGGTAGCTCCTTAAGAGATAAGATTCTGCTCAAATCCTTTAAGGGGTCACAGTGATTCGCTACTTGCTTTGTTTGACTGTGTAAAATAGCAGTATTTTACTTTGATGTATAGCCTTTTGTCTCAAAAGCTTACACACCTGTATTTTGACCTCTAACAGTTGAAACAGTCTCCAGTTTTCTGAAAAACTGTTTCCTGGGTTATAATCCTTAGGTTGACTCAAATAAAATACTTTATTTCTTTTTTATATTGACTATTGATTAATTTTTTGTCAACACTGTTAAGATTTATGCCCATGTTAGGAGGCTCAAACAGTTTATATGGACTACCTGAGCCAGGAAGCAGAAGTACGCTGTAAAGAGCGGATACAGACGATTTGGTAGGTTGCACACTGCACAAGAAAGCAGGCGGAGCTGAAATCCAGTGTGACTTTACTTGCCAGCCCATGTGTCTTGGTGTAAAGTTGTACTGCCTTGAGGCATAAGTGTCTTTTTCTAATTTGCACAAAGATGCTACCTTCATGCCAAGCCATGCTCCCTCGGAGCTGCATTGGCCTAGAGGAGTTGCCATTTTTTACTTTCCCAAAGGTCCATATAGTCTGACTAAAGGCCTGCCTAGTTTGGGAAGATTCCCCATTCTGTTCCTATTGATAGGAAAAAAAAAAAAAAAATACAGTCAGTGTGGAAAGGCTGTGTCCAGGAAAATGCAGCGTCCAGATCTATAAAACTCACTGCTGCATCTGTCTCAAGTAAAAATCAAGCTCTCCTCCAATAAACTTTAAACGTGGTGCTAAGCTGTACTATAGGAGTCCTTAGTGAATGGGTGAGTGTGCAAACCAGAAACGAGGTTTTGATACGGTTTCCCCTTCCTGTGTTGTTGTGCAGCAGTCCTGCATGTTATGTCTCTGGTATGGAACAGCCCAGAAAAACAGCCCTGACCCGCTGGGAGCAGGGCCTGTGGGAGACCCCACACAGCCTGAGCTCCATCCCAGGTATTCATGTACTAGGGCTGCCATGATAAGCCAGCACAGGCAGGGCAGCTTAAACAACAGATATTTATTTTCTCACAGTGCAGGAAGCTGAAAGTCCAAGATCAAGGTGTTGGCATCTTTGGTCTCTTCCAAGGTATCTTTCCTTGGCTTACACATGACCTTCTTCCCCATGTGTCTTCACATCGTCTCCCCTCCCCTCACATCTGTCCTAATCTCTTCTTATAAAGACACCAGTCATACTGGATCAGGGTCCACCCATATGACCTCGTTTTACCTTAGTTACGTCTTTTGAGACCAAATCTCCAAATACAGTGACATTCTGAGGTACTGGGGACTAGGACTTCAACATATGAATTTGGGGAAATGAAAAGGACCCAGTTCAACTCACAGAACTAGGGTTGTCCTGGAGCTCCAGGGTTTGGACTAAAAGATCCATCAACTCAGGAAAGCATTTGCCTGACCAGCTCTGCTCCCTGTTCTCACTGGGTAAAGATGCGTACCAGCCATTGTGATGATAACCGTGGTTAGAGTAAAAAATCCTCCCACTTAGATGAGAAGTTGTGAGAAGCTAATGCAATGGCTTCTTTTGTTTTGGATAAACCCCCAAGTATCTGATGTTTCTTTCCTCCAGAACAAAGAGAACCACGGGCTGGTGGAGAAGCTGACCTGCTTGGCTGCCCTTCGGGCCAGTGACGTCGAGAAGATTCAGAAACTGGAATCCGAACTGGACAGAGCAGCCACCCACAGGCAGAATTATGAGGAGAAGGGGATGAGATACAGGGCTTCCGTGGAAGAGGTCTGTGCTGGAAGTGACTGTGGACATAGCTTGTGAGTCTTTCTGTGGAAGAGATCATGGTGCAGCATTTCCCACAGAGATGACTTCTGCAGAGAAATCAGATTTTGCTGTTGGTTTCCATTACCGGAGAGAGCCTGCATTTTAGAGGAAGGAAATGTGAGGCCTAGCGTCTGGTGGGGCAGGGGGTAGGGAGAAGAGACTCATGCTTCAAGAAGCACATTGTAAGGTTTTCTCTGCCTTCCGCTTGTGTAAAGTGATGGAAGGCCTGAGAAAGGGCCCTGGTCAATGCTTCCCTCTTGTCCAACATGACCTTGGTTTCCTGTCACTTGTCCGCCTGACATACACCCTGGAAGCATCATCCCCAGAGCAGCAGTGCAAAGCATGGGCAGGTTTGCCTCTCTGTATCGTAGTAAAAAGAACAGTAGATGTAAAAACCAGATGTCCCAGGTTCAGATCTTCTTTGTCTGGGGAACTTGGACAAGTCACTTACCCTCTCTGAATTTTAGTTTCCTCATATGGAAAATTGGAATAACAAAAAGGGACTAACAAAATTACTGTGAGTATAAAATTGTCAGATGAAATAGTTTAGCCAAGTGACTCATAGAGCCCTGCAAAAGCGTGAACTGATACTTTCAAACCTATTATTTATTACCATCCATTCTGCAGCTTCTGAAGTCCCACAACACCCAGAGTGGTGACAGCTCAAGGTTTACAGCCCACCATCTGTACTTTGCAGATGGCCCAGGATATTCTGAGGCACAGACAGGGACATCTCTCTGCCCTCCCCATGACCAGGTGCCTGGCTGCACCAACACAGAGGCTGGCATCTCCCGCACTGCCAGTCACCGGCCATCAGCACTCAGGGGCTGCCAGCCCAGCAGACACTTTACTAGAAAACTTATGTTATGATCATACATCCTTCCTGAGTCATAAGAGTCTCGAAGTGTGAATCCACTTTATATCATAAATTTCCTACATTAACTGTATTAATACCCTGGCTATTTTTAGCCAATAAAAAGAGGAGTTGCCTTGACTTTGGGAAGACCTTGGATTTGGTTCTTTCTCCTTGGTTTCAGCCATTATTGGATGAGGCTGGGAACTAGTGTCTATTGAAGTCACATGGAACCCTTGCATGTGGAGCTAAACACAGCATCTCTCAGTGGGCTGCTGCCAGCTGTTACCTATGGATGGGTGCCGAGACCAAAAAATACAAATTTAAAAATATGCAGGCAATGGTGGTGAAACTCAACACAAGGTTTTCAAAAAACCATTTTTTTCTTCCCTTTGCTAGAAACTGGCAAAGCTTCAGAAGCATAATTCAGAATTGGAGATACAAAAAGAGCAAATACAGCAGAAGCTTCAAGAGAAGACTGAAGAGTTGAAAGGTAAAGCCCAAGGTGGCCCGATGCACATTCACCAGTTCAAAAGCCTAGTCATTCGGAAAATAGGTACTGGGCAGGAATGGAGTTTCAATATGAACCAGAAGGCTCTGGTGTAATGAGAGAACTTTCACTTTATGGAGAATAACTGTATTTAAATTGTGGCAACTGTACCCTGCAGGTTTACCTGGTTTGTTTCCAACTTTTATCAGAGCACAGTTGTCCCTGTCTATGCCTCAGAATCTCCTGGGCATTTGCAAAGTACAGATGGTGGGCTGTAAACCTCGAGCTGTTATATCGCAAGATGGGGAGGGGGTTGATGACTGTGGATGGTGGTAGCAGGGATCGTTCAGAATCTCGTTTTTTAAAAATTTTCTAGTCACCCTCCTGCATTGTCAGGGCAATGCTGGCATAATGTTTGTGGCTTGCCAAGGATTTACACTCAAATTTTAGCTCTGGCCAAGCTACCCAGTCTAAGTGGTACCCAGTGCTGGCCCTGAACAAAGACGCCTCCTTAGTAGCACTGTTTCACATCAGCCCTGGACCGTCAGGTGCAGACCCTTGGGACCAGCAGTGTCAGTTTCCTTTGGCGTGTGGAGCAGCCATCCGCAGCCTAGCTCTGTCCATCTGTACTTGTCCAATTCAAATTCTAATAGCAGAGTTCTAATTTATAAAAGATGACAGTTATACTCTCATCTTAAGTCCCATTAACAATAAAAACCACCTGATTGTTCTTACATTCTTACTTTCTTAAATGTGGCATGAAACAATCAAGGCATTGCTTTGCACGCCTATTTCAAAGAGCATTCATTCTCTTTTCACAGAAAAAATGGATAACCTCACCAAGCAGCTCTTTGATGATGTGCAAAAAGAAGAACAACAAAGAATGTATGAAGTTTCGTTTGCTTTAAAGCCTCTGCCTCCTTCTCTCTCCGCTGTTTTCTCATTTGCTTCTCAGCTTGCAGATTGTGGATCACAGACACAGGAGAGCACAGTGTGGATATTTTTAGGAAGTGAGAGACAGCTTTGTGAGAGCTCCGTCCCCAAGGGTGCACGTTTCAGACACTGCACAGGTTCTGGAGTTATGGGTGCAGTGGACCACTGGGAATATCTTGCTTTCTCTTTATTACCAAGACAGTGAGAAGTTCAGAGACTGCCACCTCTTTCATCTTTCAAGTCCAAGGATGAAAATTATTGCCTCTTAAATAAACCGTCTTTCCTTGCCCCCTACCCTCACACTGTATCTGTAAACTTGACTCTTGTCCCAGACAGCAAGGCATATAACTCACCTCACAAAAGTTAAGGCAGGTCCAGTAGCTCATGTAGCTCAATACAAAAAAAGCCAATCAAAAAAAATGAATGGAAGATCTGAATAGACATTTCTCCAACTAAGACATACAGATGTCCAAGGGGCACATGAAAAGATGCTCAGTATCAATAATTATTAGAGAGATGCAAATCAAAACTACAATGAGGTATCACCTCACACCAATCAGAATGGCCATCATCAAAAAATCTACAAATGATAAATCTTAGAGACCTATTTCAAAGAGCATTCATTCTCTTTTCACAGAAAAAATGGATAACCTCACCAAGCAGCTCTTTGATGATGTGCAAAAAGAAGAACAACAAAGAATGTATGAAGTTTCGTTTGCTTTAAAGCCTCTGCCTCCTTCTCTCTCTGCTGTTTTCTCATTTGCTTCTCAGCTTGCAGGTTGCGGATCACAGACACAGGAGAGCACAGTGCGGATATTTTTAGGAAGTGAGAGACAGCTTTGTGAGAGCTCCGTCCCCAAGGGTGCATGTTTCAGACACTGCACAGGTTCTGGAGTTATGGGCGCAGTTGCCCACTGGGAATATCTTGCTTTCTCTTTATTACCAAGACAGTGAGAAGTTCAGAGACTGCCACCTCTTTCATCTTTCAAGTCCAAGGATGAAAATTATTGCCTCTTAAATAAACCGTCTTTCCTTGCCCCCTACCCTCACACTGTATCTGTAAACTTGACTCTTGTCCCAGACAGCAAGGCATATAACTCACCTCACAAAAGTTAAGGCAGGTCCAGTAGCTCATGTAGCTCAATACAAAAAAAGCCAATCAAAAAAAATGAATGGAAGATCTGAATAGACATTTCTCCAACTAAGACATACAGATGTCCAAGGGGCACATGAAAAGATGCTCAGTATCAATAATTATTAGAGAGATGCAAATCAAAACTACAATGAGGTATCACCTCACACCAATCAGAATGGCCATCATCAAAAAATCTACAAATGATAAATCTTAGAGAGGGTGTGGAGAAAAGGGAACCCTCTACACTGCTGGTGGGAATAAAAATTAGTGTAGCCATTATGGAAGACAGTATGGAGGTTCCTTAAAAAACTAAAATTAGAGCTACCATATGATCCAGAAATCTCATTCCTGGGTATATATCTAGAGAAAACCATAATTCAAAATGTTACATGCACCCCAGTGTTCATAGCAGCACTGCTTACAACAGCCAGAACATGGAAGCAAACTAAATGTTCATCAACAGAGGAGTGGACAAAGAAGATGTATGTATATATTAATACAAGGGAATATTATTACTCAGCCACAAATAAAAACAAAATAATGTCATTTGCAGTGACATGGATGGGCCTAAAGATTGTCATACTGAGTGAAGTGAGTCAGACAAAGACAAATAGCATATGATAATGCTTTCATGAGGAATCTAAAAGAATGATACAAGTGACCTTATTTATGAAACAGAAATAGTCACAGATGTAGAAAACAAATTTATGGTTACCAAGGTGGAAAGGGATAAATCAGGAGATTGGGATTGACATATACTCACTGCTGTATCTAAAATAGGTAACTAATAAGGACCTACTGTATGGCACAGGGAACTCTGCTCTGTAATGGTCTATATGGGAGTGGAATTTGAAAAAGAGTAGATATGTGTAACTGGTGCACTTTGTTGTGCAGCAGAAATTAACAGAACATTGTAAATCAACTACAATAAAAATTAGTTAAAAAGACAGGTCCTCATAACCTTGAATTGTACCAGCCCCATATTTCCTATCTCAACAAACGCTTTGCTAAGGTCTAAAGGCTCCAGTCCGTGCCCCTCTTTCTTAAGTAGTAAATTCACAGGTTTTTAGATCTCCAGATAGGGCATCATGGCAGAGTGTTGGGAAGAGGTGGAACATTCTTGGCATCTCTGTTGGAGGCTAGAAGGCACAGTGCTGCCTTGGTGGCAGCATATATAGCTTTCCTGTGAAGTTAGCAGAAGAACCTGGGTCTGGATGAGGGGGCCAGGATGCCAAGAAGTCAGGGGAGAGAGTGTCACTGAAGAACTCCAAGAGTTAATGTGTACATAACGTGTTTCATGATCCTACATCAATTTTTTGTCTTTTGATGTATGTGTGTGCATATGTGAAAGTGGCTCAGTCCTGTCTGACTCGTTGCAATGCTTTGGACTGTAGCCCACCAGGCTCCTCTATTCAAGGAATTTTCCAGGCAAGAATACTGGAGTGGGTAGCCATTCCCTTCTCCAGGGGATCTTCCCAACCCAGGGATCAAACCCCAGTCTTCTACGTTGAAGGCGGATTCTTTTTGAGCCACCAGGGAAGTCCTTTCGATGTGTAGTTGATTTATAATACTGTATTGGCTTCAGATGTATGACATAGTGGTTCAAACTTTTTATACATTATGCTCCATTTGTAGTTATTATAGAATGCTAGCTATATTCCCTGTGTTATGCAATATATCCTAGTAGCTTATTTATATCATACACAGTAGTCTGTACCTTTTAATCTCCTTCCCCTTTCTTGCTTCTCCACCTTCCCTCTCCCCACTGGTAACCACTAGTTTGTTTTTTATGAGTCTGTTTGCTTTGCTATATTCATTTGTTTTTTTTTTTAATATTCCACCTATAAAACACACAGTGTCTTTTATTTCACTAAGCATAAGATCTCTCAGTTTCATCCATGTTGTTGCAAATGGAAATTTTTCTTTTTTATGCTTGAGTAGCATTCCATTGTATGTATGTACCACATCTTTTTTATCCATTCATCTGTTGATGGACCCTTAGGTGGCATCCATATCTTGACTATTGTAAATAGTGCTACTCTGAACATTGGGGTGCATGTATCCTCTTAAAATAGTGTTTTCTTTTTCTTTGCATATATACCTAGGAGTAGAATTGCTGGATCATATTTACATCAGTTTTTAAATAGGGCTAGTTAGCTTTTTACCTTGAAATGTCTGTTTTTCCATGAAGTCTTAACTTTAGAAGAGAGGGGCTCAGCTCTTGGCATCTCCTGGTCATCTGAGGCCACTTAGGAGCAGTCATTTCAAGCAGAGGCTGGAGAGCCAGCCTGAGCTCTTTACAGTCCTCTTCAGCGCTCAGCCACCGCTCAGTCTGGTCCCTGGTCAGCTGACTGGGAAACACTTGTCCCATCACAACCGTCCAGAGGCTCAAGGGTCCCACAGTCAGTGGGCACACTCCCGGTCAGCTGAGGCTACCAGTCTTAAGATTCTCTTTACCTAAGATTTCTGGTTTTAATTTGCTTCTTCAAATGTATTTTCCTGGACTCTTAGGAGCACTGTAGTTTTTGTTTTTTTAATCTGAAAACAAAGGTTAAATGTTTGTTAATATCTATAAGAAGAAAAGAAACAAAATCCTATTGGGAATATGAGTCTCTTCCTCAGGATTTTCCCCATTGTACTATAAGAGCAAGTCATAAAATGGACTGAGTTGACAGCCCAGCAGGTGGGAAGATGATTTAATAAACTCACAGAGCTCTTTGGACAGCTTCAATTCTGACTGGGCCCCTGTGGGCTGTGTGGGGCTGGTCTAGGTTCTGTATCTGTCTGGGGTTATTTTCTTGGTCACTTACCCTGTATTTAATTGCTCAGTCTTCTTACAAGGAATGGCTTTCTGTGGCCTTTTGGGTACCTGGACTTGCTGCAGTTTATTCTAAAATGTTTGACAAGCTGGACCCTTTTCCTTATTAAATGGCCATATTAACTTGTTTATTACTAAGCCAAGCTGTTCCAGGATCCTTGATTCTAGGCAGGAGACAGAATATGCCAAGGTCTTTGCTGAGTGAAGTGGTCCCTTTAGGGGACCACGTGGAACCAGGGTGGCTTGGGGGCTACAGTACCCCACCAACCATTGAGTCTTTAAGTTCAGCCTCCCTCTCCTCTGTTCCCTGTGTGTGATCACTGTAGAGCCACACTTCTCTGATTCTGAAGGTGTAAGAAGCTGCCTTGACCTAAGGGGACGTAAAAACAGTCTTCCAAAAATAAGGCCACCGTCCTCACAGTAGGTCTTCACTTGGCTCTTCCTTTCTGAGTCTCCTCTTATTTCCAAAATGATGTGTAGTTCTAATTAAGGGCAAAGACCTTAGAAATGGTTCAAATTTTTCTTTTGATGCTTAGACTTCTTGAAAAAAGTTTCGAACTGAAAACGCAAGACTATGAGAAGCAGATCCGGTCTTTGAGAGAAGAAATTAAAGCTCTCAAGGATGAGAAGATGCAACTGCAGCGTCAGCTGGAGGAAGAGCGGGTCGCCTCTGATGGCCTGAAAGGGGAAGTGGCCCGGCTGAGCAAGCAGGCAAAGGTAGGACTCCTCACTTCTTGGCTGATTTGTCTGACCTGCACAAGAGAGAGCGGCTTCACATCCCCTCGGGGTCAACTAAAAGCATCCAAACTTGTTTCTCCCTCCACTCTTCAATGCAAACCATTTTAGTGAGATTGGAAAACTTTTAAGCTTCCACTAAATACGTGAAACACATGTTAGTAGAATAATTGTTGTAATTACACAAATATCCTCTGTAATCATCATGGAATAGCCATGCATAGTTTAGAAGATATGTCATGGACTCATACCTGAATTTCTTAGCAGAACTGCCCATATTCTCTGGGCTCTGATTTCCTATTGTTTAAGTTGTAGATTGGACTGTGGAATCCAGAAGGACCACATATACCTGTGAGCCCTTCATCCTTAGCGGCCTCATAAGACTGATGTCAGTCTGGGAGTCACATCATCTGGCTACAGTTTGTATCTCACGAGATCATGTGGCTGCCCTTGGGGTGAGGCACCAATATTTGCCACTCACTTCCTCTCTGGCAGCTAAAACTATGATCTAAACTCTTCATTGTGGTATACTAAGGAGATTAGTCTGATTTTCAAAGAAAATAAACCCATTATCATCATTTATACATGTTATAAGCCTATAGGTAAATACCTATACCTAAGTAAGGGCTTCTCTGGTAGCTCAGTGGTAAAGAACCTGCCTGCCAATTCAAGAGATGCAGGTTCAATCACTGGGTCTGAAAGACCCCTTTGAGAAGCAACCCACTCTAGTATTCTTGCCTGGAAAATCCCGTGGACAGAGGAGCCTGGTGGGCTACAGTCCATGGGTTGCAAAGAGTTGGACACGACTGAGCAACTAAACAACAATAGGTAAATACAGATATGACTTGGAACATTTACTGAAACAACACAGAGTGTGGAGCTTGAGGATGGATAGTCCTAGGTCCTGGCAGCTTGCCATGTGACCCTGAACAATCCATGTAACCCTTTTGCATCTTCAGTTTTCTAGTCATTCTGCTCAGTTCATAGGCATGTTACAAGGGTGAGGTCATATATGTAAGATGATCAGAACATGCCAACCTGATCTCCTTTTTTACCCACTGTGGAAACAAGAGTTGTATAACCTTTAAACACTTAGGCTAACTGAGAAAATATTCAGAGATGCGAGGGGAGTTTGAGGGAGCATGGATACAAGTGTGCGTATGGCCGAGTCCCCTGCTGTTCACCTGGAACTATCACAACATTGTTAATTGGCTATACCCCAGTACAAAATGGGCTTGCCTGGTGGCTCAGATGGTACAGAATCTGTCTGCAACGTGGGAGACCCAGGTTCAGTCCCTGGATCGGGAAGATCGCCTGGCGAAGGGCATGATAACCCACTGCAGTATTCTTGCCTGGAGAATTTCATGGACAGAGGAGCATGGTGGGCTACAGTCCATAGGGTCACAAAGAGTTGGACATGACTGAGCTTAATGACTAGATGATGCAAACTAAAAAAAAATTTTTAATGGCCACACAAAAATTCACCAGTTTTGATTTTTTTTTTAATTTCACAGGCAAAATTATATCTGTCCCAAACACTGTTACACCACACTTCAGTAACAGAAGCTGCAGGTTATAGTCTATACGTGTATTTTCTCCTTGGTTTTTTTTTTTTTTTTTTTTTTGGAAAGGAAAGTTTGCTTTATTTCAGATGCCGGCAACTGGGAGGGAGAATGGCCAACCCCTGTCCAAAGGCCGATAGGTGTCAGTGGTGATGAGCATCATCTTGATTGTTTTAGGTGCAGTTGATCTTTAGTTCCAGGGTGCACTTGTTCCCATTTCTTTGCGGTCAGTTCTCGGAATTGTGGCAGCTCAAGTCCTGGGCAGAGTCTGGTCATTGTGTAGTTAACTTCTCCACCTGGGGTTTTGGTGTCTATAAGACAGCTATAAGACAACACACAGGATATGGCTCAGAGTATTATCGATAGTCCTTGAGAAAATATTAAAGGTCCTTGACTATGCTTAGTGAATACATTATTATTATTTAGTCTCCTTAGACTGTTTTCCTTTGTTTCAGTATTCCTCACCTCTCTGATTAAACTTATTTTTTTTATAACTGAAGTTTTTCACAGGCAAAAGGCAGGCAGAAGATATTGTGGGTGGCAGTGGGGGGGTCGGGTGGGCAAGGACCATATGGTGCTGCTCTGTTTTCAGTATCAGAAAGTGAATGTGAAAGTCACTCAGTCGAATCCAACTCTTTTGAATTCTCCAGGCCAGGATACCAGGCCAGGATACTGGAGTGGGTAGCCTTTCCCTTCTACAGGGAATCTTTCCAACCCAGGGATCGAACCCAGGTCTCCCAAATTGCAGGTGAATTCTTTACCAGCTGAACCACAAGAGAAGCCCAAGAACACTGGAGTGGGTAGCCTATCCCTTCTCCAAGGGATCTTCCCGACCCAGGAATCAAACCAGGGACTCCTGNATCTCTGAAAATTGTACCTGAAAATTGAGTCATATTAAACTAAAAATACTTTCACTATGTTTTCTGTTAAATGCTTGAATTTTAAAACACATCCCTCTCCATTTTTAAGGCAAGCTGAATATTCAGCTCTGTTTATAAGTACATTTTAAGGAAAAGTAATTTAAAAGCTTTCGTGTTTAATGATACAAAGAAATAGCAATCACTTTTTAAAGATGTTGTGAGAGCCAGTTGGACATGACTGAGCTTAATTACTAGACAGTGCAAAATAAAAAAATATTTTAAATGGCCACACAAAAATTCACCAGTAATGATAAAGTGTTTTTTTTTTTTTTAATACACACTGATACGACAACTGTCACAAACACAGAAAAAAAAATATCCAGGAGGGGTTATTCATCTCTGTACAGCTCCCACATCTACCCAAGTGCAAACCTGAGCTCACAGGTGAATACAGGCAGAATGCAGCCTCCTCCCCACAAGCAGCCTCTTCCCCCTCCTGGACTCGGGTCATGCCCTCACTGCCAACTCCCACAGCCCCAGGGCGCACCCTGGCCCTGCCACTGGGTCCCATCTAAGCCTAACTGGAGCCCCAGCCCTAAATAGGTGATGACTTTGCCCACTTCTTTGCGTCCAAGATTTCATCGTACAGTGAGAGAGAACTTGGCCCTTGTGCCTGGACTTCTCTGAGCTCCCTCACCTCCCCTTCCCCACCCCAAGTAGTAAGGACTTACTTTTTCCCTTTAGGGGGGGCTAACTCTATTGATACAACCAAGTACCTGTGAGAATAACAGTATCTTAGATAGTTAGACAATACTCTATGGCAAAACTTTATGAGCAGTGATGGTTTAACAAGATTTTAACTGAGAAACTACAGTGAAGACAACTTGCATAGATAAATATACAGCAATAGTGTTCCCTTTGTCTGCTGTAAATTGTGACAGCTGTTTTTTCTTCACATGGTTCTGTCATTGCTGGGATTCAGACGATCTCTGAGTTTGAAAAGGAGATAGAGTTACTTCAGACACAGAAGATAGATGTGGAAAAACATGTGCAGTCCCAGAAAAGGGAAATGAGAGGTAATGAAAATATGAGTCACTGAGTTCATGGCGGGCAGGCCAAATGTATCAAAGGTGTTACCAACTCAGGCAGTGTGTCCTTTGGTCTGAGGCTAGTTGGTTGGGTATATGGAAGGTTGAATAGTTGGTTGGCTCCATGGTTGGTTGGTTGGATAGCTGGTAAGTTAGCTGATGAGATGGTTAGCTAGAGAGTCTGTAGAGCTAGAGAACTGGGCCCTAAAAAAGGAAATGGGAAAATAGAAATTATGCAAAAATATAATTTATTCCAGTTCTGCCTTTTCCCCTCAGAAAAGATGTCAGAGATTACCAGACAACTTCTTGAAAGCTATGACATTGAAGATGTAAGAAACAGGTAATCATTTTTGCACTAACAAGTATTTAGAAACATGTAACACATGAGAGAAATGATTCTTTCACCCTCCTCATGTTTCAGGCTGTCTCTAGAAGATTTGGAACATTTAAATGAGGATGGAGAACTTTGGTTTGCTTACGAAGGACTAAAGAAAGCAACACGGTGAGAAATTTCCCTCAGGATTTTTCATGATTTTTCAGAAACAAAATACTATTGCAAAGTCAAAAATTTACCTTTCATAGATTTGATAGACAAAGTAAATTCCTTACAGAATGGTCTAATAATCCCTGGGATGATTTCTTCGAGGCTTGAGCAATTAGTTTAATAATGAAGAACAACCTCTTTGTGGGCTAACTCACCAAGTAGTAAAACACATAACCTACACAATGAAAACTGATTATAGCAAACAAGTTAGCTGGTGTTGCTATAGATATATTGTTGTTAATGTTTAGTCACAAGTCATGTCTGACTCTTTGTGACCCTGTGGACTACAACTTGCCAGGCTTTCCTATCCTTCACTGTCTCCCAGAGTTTGCTTAAACTCATGTCCATTGAGTTGGTGATGCCATCCCACCATTTCAACCTATGTCACCCTCTTCTCCTCCTGCCCTCAATCTTTCCCAGCATCAGGGTCTTTTCCAATGAGTCGGCTTTTCGCATCAGGTGGCCAAAGTATTGGAGCCTCAGCTCAGCATTCATCCTTCCAGTGAATATCCAGGGTTGATTTCCTTTAGGATTGACTGGTTTGATCTCCTTGCAGTCCAAGGGACTCTCAAGAGTCTTCTCAGCGCCACAATTCAAAAGCCTCAATTCTTCAGCACTCAGCCTTCTGCAGTACAGGAGACCCAGGTTCAATTCCTGGGTGGGAAAGATCCCCTGGAGAAGGAAAGGGCCACCCACTCCAGTATTCTTGCCTGGAGAATCCCATGGTCAGAGAAGCCTGGCGGGCTATGGTCCACGGGGTCAGTAGGGTACAACACAACTTAGTGACTTCACCACCAGCCTTCTTTATGGCCCAACTCTCACTTTCACTTTCCTAGGTATATAGATGTGTTGAAATTTAAGATGTTTGCTTTCTTAAAAATTAATTAACTATTTTTAGAGCAATTTTAGGTTCACAGAAAGTACAGAGATTCCTCGTATACCTCCTACCCCTACACACACACAGCCATCATCAACATGTGTCACCAGAGGGTACATCTGTTAGAACCAATGAACCTGTACTGACACACCATTATCACCCAGAGTCAATAGTTTACACTAACGTTTACTCTTAGACTTCCCTGGTAGCTCAGGCGGTAGTTTACACTAAGGTTTACTCTTGATGTTGTACATACTATGGGTTTTGAAAAATGTATAGTGACGTGTCTTTATCATTGTTGCATCAAACAGAGCATATTTTTATTAGAGTAGAAACATAATTTTAATAATGTCTAAAAATTTTTTATCACCTACTACATGTTAACACCACATAACATCACATAGCTGGAGTCTGTAATTATACATTATTAATTCCATAGCCTGTAACCTTTTATACACAGGTAAACTTTATGTGCTTAGCACCTGGCTCTGATTGTTGGTTTTCATAACTGCTGAGAGTCACCATCAGGATAAAGACCATGTGGTTAACTTCTTGACCATTCCTCTGATAGCGTTTTGGAGAACCATTTCCAGTCCCAGAAGGATTGCTATGAAAAGGAGATTGAAGCTCTGAACTTCAAAGTGGTGCATCTAAGTCAGGAAATCAACCACCTGCAGAAATTATTTAGAGAAGAGAATGACATCAATGAAAGTATCCGTCATGAAGTTACCAGGCTAACGTCAGAAAACATGGTATGATCTCAGCCTTTATTCTAGAGATGTCATGCTTCAGTGAAGTAAAGTTCAGTGTCTCAGCTGGAAAGCAAATTACATTTTCCAGGAGTGAAATAACTGGTTCAGAAGATAAAACTATAAAATTACATCAGCCTGGAAAGCATTTTGAAAGTGTTTACCATAGGATGAGTCCAAATTCTGTGATTTGTGTGTGCTTTTAAATTTATATGTGTTAAATCTAGCCCTCACCCCTCGGAAAGTCACAAAAAGCATAAAGATAAAAAGGTACCTCTTGAGAGGGGCTTGCATGCAGAAGGTCAGTTGCCCTATTCTAGCTCTTCATCTCACTGTTTCAACAACTTCCTTCTTCCATGATGCCTGCTCTTCTCCACTGCATTTGTCTAATTCCTCCTCCTCACTTTTATCTACTGGTATGAAGAAATGCCTTAGGAATCTAATTATCAAAAACATGCTTTTCTTAACCCCATACCCCCTGCAGCCACCGCCCCTTTTCTCTGGGGGACTTGGCTATACTTCTCCATGCCATCCGGCTGTGACATCTCCACTCATCTCCTGTTTGTGCCCACCCCGTGCCGCGGTGTGTCCCTCCCTCTACCTGAATCTGCCTGCACAGAACTGAACACAAAGGGTTCCTTTTCCCCCTTGTCTTGGTCTCTCTGCAGCATTTGGTGATGTTTTCAATCACTCCCTCTCCCTCTTTCTTGTTCTCTTGGCTTCCAGGACACCATGCTCTCCTGGGTTTCTCATCCCACCTCACTGGTTGGTGCTTCTTCAGCTTCTTTACTGGCTTTTCCTCCTCTGCCTAGCCTGGGAGTATTAGGAAATCTCAGGGATGCGTCGGCAGGTGAGGAGAAATGACTCTGGGCACAGCACATGTGTTAGTTAAGGACCTGCACATTTTTATCTACTCCTTGGCTGAAACTTTAATGAGGAATTTGCAGTGAGATCCGATTGCACAATCAAACAAGTATTTTTCTTCTTGACTTAAGAGGCACAGGTGTTTTCATAAACATGTACAATTAAAAAACTCTTCTTACCTGACTATGCTCAGCTGGTAAAGAATATGCCTGCAATATGGGAGACCTGTGTTCAATCTCTGCGTTGGGAAGATCCCCTGGAGAAGGGAAAGGCTACCCACTCCAGTATTCTAGCCTGGAGAATTCCATGGACTGTATAGTGCATGGGGTCGCAAAGAGTTGGACACGACTGAGGGACTTTCACTTTCACCTTACTACAAGTGGAAATGGTGGGCATTTAAACAAGTATACAGCTAGACAAGGACAGAGGATTATGAAACATATTGGGTCATTCCAGACCTCTGATAAAAAAACAGTGCATGGCCTGGAATTCACAGGGCACAGTAGGACCCCCTTTGAGATGATTCTCCTATTTCTAGATGAGGAGATGATGTCTCTGAGCCAAAGAGACTGTTTATCATTCCTCCCATCATCCTTCCCTCAGCTCAGCAGAGAATTCCCATAAGTCCTCCCAGATCGTACCCTTCCAGGAGCCCTCGGGGGTGTGGGGGGTGGAGCTGGGTGAGAACCACTCTAAGCATGCTGGCATTTCTTGTGACAGTATAGGTCTTGAGGTAAAAAGCATGATTTCATCCAGTGTAATACCTTGGCTAGCTGTCTTACATAACTATACTAGACGTATGTTCCATGGGGTTAAAGATCTAGACAGTTTAGTTTGCTTCTTAGCAGCTCTGGGATTTTAAAGTTCATACATCAAAGTGTTTCATATTCTAATATTTCCAATTCTTCTGTGAAGATGATCCCAGACTTTAAACAACAAATTTCAGAACTGGAAAAACAGAAGCAAGATCTTGAAATCCGCCTGAATGAACAAACTGAAACCATGAAAGGTAACTGGAACCCTCATGAACCTGCTTTTAGAAAACGGTTTCATGTTGGGGGAAGAGGTGGTTAGGGAGTTGGGGGTGGACATGTACACACTGCTGTATTTAAAATGGGTAAACAACAGGGCCCTACTGTATGGCACATGGAACTCTGCTCAATGTTACGTGGCATCCTGGATGGGAGAGGAGTTTGGGGGAGAATGGATACATGTATATGTATGACTGAGTCCCTTTGCTGTCTACCTGAAACTCTCACAACGTTGTTAATTGGAGTAAAACGGAGTAAAACGTGGTTTTACTCCAATATAAAATAGAAAGTTTTTTAAAAAAAGAAAATAGTTTCCTGTATCCAGGAATGACCAAAAGGTCATTGTCAAACTGATTCTCCATGGACTTAGACAGGTGACATAAATGTGAAAGTGGGATGTGTGAACAGTACAGTAAGATTCATAGGCATTTGAAGGCAGCAGCTGCCTCCAAGCCCTGTTGACTTTTGCCAACTAAGATCTCAGGCTCCAGTGTTGCTTGATATTCCTATTTTCAAAGAAAAAATGGAAATCCAGATTTTTAAATAATGGCGTAAGAAGTTTTTAAATATTGTTCAGACCAAATAAAACCTAATCTCTAGCTGGGTGCATTTTAGAACCCTTAATAACTGAAAATATGAAAATATGATCAAACCCAAATCAGAATGCAGTGGTATAGCCCCCCAAAGGACTGATAGCTCTTCTCATCATAGGAAAACTAGAAGAATTGTCAAATCAGTTGAATCACAATCAAGAAGAAGAAGGAGCGCAGAGAAAGTAAGTGTCAACCTGCATGTACCTCAAGCCCACACATGTAATGCTTGGCTTTTCTGAAATTGTGGGAGATACCAAAGAAGGTTATTAAGACACAAAAGCGAGATATTCTTAAGGTATATGATTTGTTAGCCTTCAAGTGTAAAAAGAAATACTTGTGTACACACACACACCTTCCTCTGGGATAAGGTACAAGCAATGAAACAAATAAAACATTGGTTGCCTGCAGGAAGGGTAACTGGGTGGCTGGTGCCCGGAAGATGGAGGAGACTTGCTTTTCACTGTGTACCCTTTTATGCCCTTAGAACATTATGCCATATGCATAAATTATATCTTCAAAAAACTGAAAAAATAATATCATATGAGAGAGAACAGTGTTTCTCTCAGCAGGCCACTTAGGGTGAGGCTTAAAATTCATTTTGATAGAGAATCTTCATTTGATAACCCACCCAAATTACATCCTGACCAACAGAGCGTCTGGTGGAAACTTGTGAGAAAAATGTTTTGTAGTCAGCTTGTTGAGATACTTTGTGTAAAATTTTTTCGATGATGATCAAAATTATTTTAGTAGAAATTTGAACCATTTCTCTGGAGAAATAGATAAAAGAATAATCAGATAGTGGTGTTTTAATTCATTTAAAACACACATCGAGCTTTCACAAATACACAGAGTTGCAAAGGTGAGTGAGGCATTTGCCCAAACCCTCAATTTCCTCAGTGTCTTGTGTTCCAAGATTCTTACCTGTGTAATTTACTTCCACTCATCACTGAACTTCTTCCAGTCAATCAGAGTGGTGAATTCCCTTAGTCATATTTGTGTACAGACACAGAGCGAGTGGGTTCTTCCCTGTCTCATAGAAATATAGAAAGATTATGCATTTCCTGTTGACTTTTCCATCATGGAGAAGTTGACAAACATTCATAGAATCACTGGATCATTAAGTTTAAAACATTTTTAAAGCTTTATTTTAATTCAATTCTTTCATAATAAAATCTCGATTTAATTATTTATATGTAACTCAAGTTAGAATTGCAATTTTAGAGCTTTACATTCATTAATAGGGTACCATTTTGTATCCTAGTGTTTTTCCATACCCCATAACATTGCTCATATCAAATAATATTTTTATAGCTTAGATTATATTGTGCTTTTGTATGGTAGAAATATTTTGGAAAATTTTATAATCTTTAGAAAAGTCAGTTATCCTGAATTCTTCACTGTGAATTTTATTCACAATCATTTTGTTATCCTAATCAGATTAAAACTCTCATATTATTATTTATCATCAGAGGAATAGACGTCAAATTTGTCATTCAGGTTCCATTCCAGTTCAAAAATCCTCGAGATACTTAATTTCAAGAAAAATAAATAGACACTCTACATCCCAGAGAACATTTCTTACCACATGACTTCATTGGGAGGGTCGGGGCCAGGTGTAGATAAGTGGTAGGCACCATTTTAGGACTCTGGATGGGTTCCCTTTTCTTCCCTCTCTGATCCCTGGATTTTTTAGTATCTGGTCCCAGGCTTTTCACAAAGGAGATAATCACTGGGCTTTTGGTCATAAGGGTGTGAGTGGGTATGGATGTCTTATGGCAGCCATCAAGGGGTGTGGGCGGGTGAGGATGAGAACTTTTTATCAGCTTAAGAGACTGAAGCAGCTGTGGACTTTTGTACCCCACTAACCCTGGTCTCTTCCCCTCACTGTGAGCACTCCCCTATTCAGGTACAATTTGTTTTACACATAAGTTGGCCAAACTATGTTTCCACTGATTTTTCATGATGGTCAAACTGATACCAAAACTTCCTAATTCTTTCCTCAGGACCATAGAAGCCCAAAATGAAATACATACCAAAGAGAAAGAGAAGCTGATGGATAAGATTGAAGAAATGCAGGAGGCCAGCGAGCACTTGAGGAAACAATTTGAAACTGAAAATGAAGTCAAGAGTAGTTTCCGGCAGGAAGCATCTCGTCTCACTATGGAGAAGAGGGTGAGAAGTTTTCTGACCTGTTGATAAATGACTGCCTGTGTGCAGGTGTCACTGAAAGGGGGGACAGGCCACCCCAGGCATCTGAGCAGCATCCACCTCCCACCAGAGCAGTCTGCTTCCTTTTCTCAAAAGACGGGTCGTCTCTGAGGTTATGGCCACTGCAGGGGAGCTGGGGATTTACAAAGGCTGAGGGAGGACCAGTGGAGGGTCCTGAGCATTGTCCCATGGGCAGCGCTTGTCTGAGATGACAACACCCTTGTCCGGAGCGTGTTGAGGATGCCAGGCTGATATGTGACCTTCTCTGAACAAAGCTTACCCCATCCAAGGCCCCTGCTTGCTTCTGGGGGAATGCTCTTCCCATAGTTTTCAGAGTCAAAATATTCTTCTATGAAATGATCACAAGTAGGTGGCTAACTTTTTAAACTGTGAAAGTATTCATCCAATTATAAATGCCCCTGTCAACATGGCGTTTGGCAGCTCTGTTAGCTCCCAGAAATTCTTCTGAAATTGTATTGGTGTGTGAAACCCACGAGGATGAGAAGCACCAAAGTAGCAGATGGAGTGGTTTCCTGGGAGGTGGATGCTCTCAGGCGCCTTCTTGGCCTGGCAGCCTCCAAGACCGTGACCAGGTAAGGGCCTGCACATGTCCACTGGCTCTGCTCCTCCTCATCGGCACAACCCCTGCCCCCCCATTTCCTATCTCACAGGAGAAACATGATAGGGTAGAATCACATTTTGCAGTGTCAGGACTTAACTTAAAAGGGTAGTTATATATAAAAAGAGGAATGCAGAGAGTTTAACATTTAATAGGAAACAATACATTCTAGTCAGATGATCCAGGTCATCACTTGGGTGATGACCATCTTTTTTGAGAGGGGTATGCCTTTCTCAGAGAATAGATTTTTCAAGTCACACTGTAAGGATAGTCGTATTGAATTTAGGACCCATCCTGATCCAGTGTGACCTCACATCGATCCTTGGTTTAATTGCAACTGCAGAGACCCTATTTCTAGTAAGGTCACATTCTGGGGTTCTAAGTGGATATGAAGTTTTTTTAATTTTTTATTTTATATTGGAGTATAGCCAGTTAACAATTTTGTGATGGTTTCAGGTGAACCCTGAGAGGGCTCAGTCATATATGTACATGTATTCATTCTCCCCCAAATCCCCTTCCATGTAAGCTGCCACACAACATTGAGCAGAGTTCTCTGGGCTATACAGTAGGTCCTGTTGGTTATCCATTTTAAATAGAGCAGTGTGTACATGTCCATCTAAATGGATATGAATTTCAAGGAGACACTGCTCAGCCAACTACATGATCTTCTGAGTCAAAGAAAATAATTTATTTAAAATTGGATAGAAAAGTTTAAGTGAGCTTCTATTTATCAAAGAAATACCAAATTAAAACTAGGTATTTTTTTGATTCTCAAATAATGGAGATCTTATGGTGCTGGTGAGAACACCTGGAAGTGGGCTCAGTCACACATGATTTCAGGGGATAGAAATTGGTGTCAACATTCTTGGGGGCAGTTTGGAGGAAAATGTCAGGAACCTCTGAAAGTGCATTCCCTTTGACTCGGTGATGCAACTTCTGAGACTGTCCTAAGTAGATAATCAAATATGTGAACAAAGATTTTCATCTAGAATGGTCAGCATAGTATTATTAGTCACAGCAAAAAAGAAAGGATGCCCAGCCATAGTGGGTAGGTTATATTATTGTATATCAGATGACAGTTTGGTATATTATCAATGATGGGGGAAATATCTGCAATATAACAAGAAACAGAATTTAAAACTTTACAAGCAGTATGACCCAATTTTATAAAATGGATATATGCCATATTAGGAGGGAAAAAAATGAAATAAAACGTAAACAGTGATTTCCTCAGGTTCTGGATTGATGGGTGACTTTTAAACTATTAGATGTATAGTAAAATAGGCTCAAATAGGAGGGAAGAAACTGCACCACACCCCCACTTGTGAGGCCCGATAAAGCTCCGAACGTGTTTAGCCAGGGACGGGACTATAGTAGGGAGAGGCAGCCAGGAGAGGAAACAGCACAGCTTCCCTGGGCTCTGAGAGTCCCCAGAGCGCCCGTGACTGCAGGGACGGACTGCCAGGTGGGCGCTGCTGCATCAGAGAAGCCTGAATCCTTTCTGTGTCAAAGCCCTTGAGGTTCAGGAAGAACCTGAATACTCTCTGCCCTTTATGGGAAATATTTATACGTGTCCAAGACTCTTCTGGTTCTTGAGCCAGATTCAGCGTGGGCAGGGCCACCCTCTTTATCAGGAAGGAGAGGCAAAGCCGGGACCCAAATTTCTGAAGCTTCTCTGCCTCTAGCTTCTGACATCAAGAGAGTGCATTTTCATACCTGCGTATTTTTAAACTCTCTACGATGGGCATGGCTTTATCAAGGAAAAGTTAGATCAAGATAAATGTGGTATATCCACACAGTAGGATAGTATCCAGCCACAAAAAAAAGGAGTGAAGTACTGGGAATTCCCTGGTGGTCCAGTGGTCAGGGCTCAGTGCTTTCACTGATTGAAAACTAAGATCCCACAGCCAAAAAAACAATGAAGTACTGATACCTACTGCAGCACAGATAAACCTGGAAAACATTATTCCAAATGAAAGAAGCCAGACACGAAAGGCCACATATTCTATGATTTAATTTATATTAAATATCTACAATAGGCAAATATGTAGAGACAGTAGGTAGATTAGTGGTTGCACAGGGCTGGAAAGGAATAGGAGGGCAAATGGGTGCCAGCTAAAAGTTACATGTTTCTTTTTAATGTGATGAAAATATTCTGGAATTAGATGGTGGTGATGGTTGCACAACTGACTATACTGAAAATCATGAGTGTACACTTTAAACGGGTGAATTGTGTGGTGTATGAATTATAGCTCAGCAAAGTTCTTACCAAATAATAGAATTAAGATGCTTCTGAGCTAACATCCTCTTTTTTTTTTTTATTTTTGTAGGATCTTGAAGAAGAGTTAGACATGAAGGAAAGAGTGATTAAAAAGTTACAAGATCAAGTGAAGACTCTAACCAAGACAATTGAAAAAGGTAGAAAAACAACATCCACTTTCCAATTTTTTTGAACTTTCAGCTAAAGTTTACATGTGTTGACATGTTATTTCCTGATGTGGTCCAAAGAATTTGAAAACTGAAGAAATGAGTCTCCGCTGGTGTGTTTGGGGCTAAATGGTTGGCTAGTGGAGATCCTTAGAGGCAGGCAGGTGGCTCACCACCTCTCAGGTGATACCAGATGTGCTCATGTAATTGTAAGGGGTACCCTGGAAGGAATACTTTTAACCTCTTTCTCTGTTGACTCTCTTCTTGAACAGTGAAAAAGTTTCAGATTTCACTGCTTTAAAGTTTATTTCCTCTCTGTTACGTGGGGTCAATATCCTAATTTCTATTAGAAGAAAAGATACTAGATAGCTAGTTAGATATCTCTTAGATAGCTCAGAAGCCAGACTGAAGTCCTCAATATGAATTGAACTGCACACTGAATGTCCTTCTAAGTTTTGGGGAAAATATTCTCCACCTTTCTCTCCTTTGCCTCCTTCTATGTCACTGAATTTTTCTTTTTTTAAATTGATTTTTAATTGGAAGATAATTGCTTTACAATGCCATGCTGGCTTCTGCCATACAACAACGTGAATCAACCATAAGTATACATATGTCCCCGTCCCTCTTCAACGTCCCTCCCACCCCCCATCCCACCCCTCTGGGTTGTCAGAGTGTCAGTAGGTTGAGTTTCCTGTGTTGTGCAGCAGCTTCCCACTAGCTAGCTATTTTACATATGGTAATGTATATGTTTCAGTGCTACTGTCTCAATTCATCCCATCCTCTCCCCTTCCCCTGCTGTGTCCACTAGTCTGTTCTCTATGTCTGTGTCTCTATTCCTGCCCTGCAAATAGTCACTGAAATTTCCTGACTTTTCTCATCTAACTCTTTACTCTTTTGTTCAATATTGCTTCTTTCTCCCAATCTCTGTCACTGAGGCTGTATCTGCAACTCTCAGTTCCTTTTACTATACTCATTTCTTTGAAGAACTCCTTTATTGTTGTTTTTTTTTTTTTCAACTCTCACATCAGACTTTTAAGTTTCCAAAACCAAAATGAGGCTCTTTTCCTTTCAATAATTATTGATAAAGGTCATTCTGCCCCATGAGGAAAGAGACGTTGTCTGTCCTTCCCATTACCCTATGGTATCCCCATTGTTGGAAAGAATGAAATCAACTGCCGTCTCTACATAAGGACTTCCAAAATCCACCTGCCGTTCCTCACTTTTCCTGAGTCCTACTCCCTTTTTGCCTCTAAGATTACTCCTTCACCTTTCTATTATCACCTCCAGCCCAACTTGTTTTAAGTGGAATGCATCAGCTTCCATTCTTGTATCAGGTATCTATTGATCATATAACAAACTACTTCCAAATTTAGTAGCTTAAAACAACAAACACTTAACAGTGCAATTTCTGAAGGTCAAGAATCTATAAGCAGCTCAGCTGGGTGGTTCTAGCTGTGAGTCACAGTAAAGTAGTCAGCAAGGATGCTGACACCTGAAGGCTTAGTTGGAGCTGGAGTACCTGCTTCCAAGCTCACTCACATGACTGTTGTCAGGAAAAGCCAGTACCTCTAGGACACTCTTTAGGTAGTACTAGCTCCCAAGGAACATGCTCAGATACAAGTCACCGCACTTATACCTGAAATATGATGTCCTCATCAGGTACTTCTGCATCATTTATTGGTTTTCCCAGTCTAGATGCAGTTCAGCAATCAGAGGTCCTTCTTATCATAAACAGGTTGCTTAGTAAAATAGTTAACATTCTACCTTTATCAGTCTTCAAGGGAACAGGGCTAGTAAATCACAGAACAAACTCTCATGGAGTAGAAGAGAGTTCTGTTAATTCTTTACCTGTATTATCTTCTTTCTCACCCATCAGAGCCTACTCACTTTTCTTGGCCCAGCTGGAGTGCTACCTCCTTCACGAACCATTTTTCAACAGTTCTAACCTACCTCTGCATAAATTCTTATGTCTTCTGTATTTATTTCCTATGGCTGCCTAGCAAATCACCGTGAAATTCGTGGCTTAATAGAATACAAAACTTACAGTCCTGAATGTCTGAAGTTCAAAATGGTGTTCCCTGGCTTAAAATCAACATGTCAGCAGGGCTTCTGGAGGCTTTAGGGGGAGATTCTATTCCCTTGCCTCTTCCAGCTTCTAGAGGCCGCCCACTTTTCCTGACTTGTGGGCCTTCACCATCTTCAAATTTGGCAGCATAAAATCTTTAGAATCATTCTGACATTCTAACCTGTGCTTCTGTAGTCACATCTCCTCTCAGAGTGGACATGAGTCTTTGGGGACCAGAGGGCAGACTGTGGTTCACCCAAAGATGTCCACGTCCCAATCCCCAGAACCTATGAGTATGTGACTCTACATGGCAGAGGGGTTTTGTATATGTGAGTATGTGAAGGACCTTTTTTTTAAATTATTTGTTTGGCTACCTCAGGTCTTAGCTGTGGCAAGCAGCATCTTCATTGCATCATCTTATGTTGTGGTGCACTGACTCTCTAGTTGTAGACACAGACTCCAGAGCACAGGCTTAGTAACTGTGGTACTCAGGCTTAGTTGCTCCATGATATGTGGAATCTTAGTACCCTGACCAGGGATTGAACCCGTGTCCCCTGCATTGAAGGTGGATTCTTAACCACTGGACCACCAAGGGGAGTCCCTATGTGAAAGATCTTGAGATGAGGAGAGTATCCTGGATCATCCAAGTAGATCCAATATAATCACAAGAGACTTTGTAAGAAAGAGACAGGAATGACAGAGTGAGGGAAAGTGATGTGACAATGGAAGCAGAGACAGAGAAAGAAGTGATGATAGAAGCAGAGGTCAGAGTGATGTGGCCGGAGCCAAAGAATGTGGTCAGCCTCTAGAAACTGGAAAAGGCAAGAAATGAGTTCTCCGCTAGAGCCTCCAGAAGAAACACAGCTGTGCTGACACTTCGATTTTTGTAAGATCTGTGTTAATCTATGAACTCCAGAACTGTAAGATTTTTTAAATTGTAATTTTAAAAAATTTTGTTTATGCCACTGAGTTTTTGGTACCTTGTTACAGCACATAGGAAACTAGTCCAGCCACCTTGGGGTCATGCTGTTTGGTGATTGCACACTACATGTTTTGTGAATCTCATTTTTTTTAAATTGTAATAAGGCAGGAGCAACAACCTGGATTGCTTTCATATCCCTACTGCACTCATTATATACCAGGTGACCATGAGAATATACACTGGCAGCTATACTCATAGATATACTCACAGATAAAAATTGCTACCAGAAGAAATTCTTCAGGATTCAATAAAGTTTGCATTTATTGGAAAGCTGGAGAATTTCATGGGCAAATCAGCCAGAATGGGATGGAAAGAGATGGGGTAGTCTTATTATAATGCTGGTGGAAGTTGTTATTGTGTATTTAGCTGATTATTTGCCTCTGCCTACAGCCAATGACGTGCACCTGTCCTCAGGACCCAAGGAGTACCTTGGAATGCTGGAATACAAGAGAGAAGATGAGGCCAAGCTCATTCAAAACCTCATTCTTGGTAGTGAAACCTGAAACTCTGAATTTTTGCTTAATTTTTGAGAACTTGAGCATTAGTCATTGCCACAGTCTTGGGCAGGGATGATAGTTCCTCTTTTTCCTCCACTGCTTCTTCCCCTAGCACAGAGCTTCTCAGCCTCACCATTTTTGACCATGTGATTCTTTGTTTCGGGTGGCTAGGGGCTTTGTATTGTAGGATATTGAGCAGTATCATTGGCTTCTATTCTCTAGAAGCCAGTGGCAACCCCTAATCATGACAATTTAAAAAAATGCCTCCAGGCATTGCCACATGCCCTCTGGCATCTGATACCTTGCCTTCAGTTGAGATGCACTACCCTAACCTCTTCCCAAGTCCCATCACATGGTCAGGGTAGAAGACATCTCCTCATCTTTGTGTCTCAGCACAGGAGCCATGGGAGAAGTAACTTGTGGCTCCCTTGTTCCATTTGCCTTCTGCTGAGAAATTCGTCTGCTGGTAATATGACAGGGCCTTCTCAGCCACAGCTATTACAGGAATCTCCCAATGAGCATGCTGTATGGTTGGCAGTCTTAGAACCAGTCCTACTAGCCTGTCTTCACCATGGAAACCACATAGTTTTCTAGAAAGAAGGAGAAAAACTGCCTCCCTATCAGCTGGTCCCAAGATAAAGCAGAAAGCAGGAGCCTTACTCCTCTTCTCCTAAGTGACCCTGCTCAGAGCATATGAGCCGCCTACCCGTTCTTTTCCACCCCTCACTGGTACACAGCTGAGGGGCCTCTTTGTTCCCCTGTCCTAATGCAGACTTGGGGAGGTCTTTGTTTGCTTTTCTTAGCTTGTTCTATACTTTCTCTCTACATCCCTACTCTGACTTCCAGCCATTCTCTTCTCTTCAAGGCCAGCTGATCCTCCTCTGCAGGACTGTTGTACACCTGTTTTCTCTATTCATAGCAGATGCATGTGATTGCTGAGATCATTCCGTCCTCATCATAGAGGCTGAGGTGGGGGTGCATGGACTGGGGCTCCTCTCTTACCTTGGAGATATGAAATTCTGTCTCTTATTCAACTTTGAAAAAGAGAAAGTACTTTGCAAATGAGAAGTAAGAGAAGCAGGTGGAAACTGCATGTATATTTTTGCTTAGAAAAAAAGCCAGCCTTAATTCCTCAAAGGGGAAAAAACATGGGCATTCAGGCACTGCATCAAGTACAGAAAAGCAGACATCCCCACCCATCATCATAGGTTTCTTCTCGGGAGAGCTGTAAGCCTCACTGACTCTCTCTGCTGCAGATCTGAAGCCCCGTGGTGTGGTGGTGAACATGATCCCCGGGCTGCCAGCTCACATCCTATTCATGTGTGTACGCTACGCAGACTCGCTAAATGACGCCGACATGCTCAAGTCCCTCATGAACAGCACCATTAGTGGCATCAAGCAGGTGGTTAAGGTAGGAACTACTTTTTTGACATTGGACCTTAGTATTATGGCTATTTTAGGAACATTTGTGGAAATGACCAGATGCCCAGACTTTTCCCATCCTTTTTCTCCAGTGTTTGGTCAACCACATGATTCTTCAAACCAGTCAAAGGCCCAGTCAGTGAAAGATGCCAAGCTATTAGAAAAAGACAACTTAGGTCAGACAGCCCTAAGGGTGGGACACTGCCAGTTACACCTCAAGTCCTTACCTGTAAGACTACAACCTGATGGCCACCACCCCATCACATCTGTCCCCTCAGGTGTGAGATTCTTGACTGTAGGGAGTATATGTCTATCCACGTAACAAGTTTGAATGCCAAGGAATGGGAAGAGCCGAAAAATTGCTCATCTCTTCCCTTGGCACTTATATAATTCTCCCTTATAAAACCACAATATATACTTTTATTCTTAGCCCAGACATGAAGATAAGGTATATGTAACGGACCAGTAAAATATAGATCCATTATCCTTTATTCCCTTCCAAATAAGAAGTAATGTTTGATTATGAGATATATTTAAAATGTTTAGTTGGGAAAGTCCTATCTCACTTTTAGTAAAATATGTGTTCTAGAAAGGTCATGAGCCTTATCTTAAATTCTATCTTAAACCCTATCTTAAATTCTCTTGGAAAAGAGAAGAAATAAAAACAGCGAGTGCATCAGGAAATGGGTAATTCTTCCACTGTCCACCCTGCCCAATTTTATACTAAGAATTCATTATTCATCAGGAGTGAGGAGTAGAAAACTAACATTGATTTGGTGTTTTACAGTCACTGTCTTTATGGGAGCTATCAATGTGTTCTTAGAAGAGACTGCCATAAATTCATGTTTTCCCTGTTCCAATTTTCATAAATTGGGTTTTCTCCAGACACACTTGCATTATGTTCCAGGCTGCAGGCACACAGTATTTGCCCCTTCTTGCTGCTCTGGAGTGTTTAAATACTTTGAAAGTGAAAGATATATAGCTTAAGGAGTATAAATCCTTTCTTGTGAGCATCTTCCATCTCAGCTTCTTCAGCAGCTCCATGCTCCTCCCCACTCCAGGGCACAGCACGTTAAAGCAGCCCTCACTTGTTCCACATACCCCCTTGACCACTGTGCCTTTTTCTCACACACCCCCTCCTGGCTGCCAAAGCACCTAAAATAGTTGTCTCCACCAATTATTTTTCACTCCTTGCAATCTGGCTTCTACCCACATTACTCCACCAGTAATTCCTCTTGCTAAATCCAATGGTGTTTTATTAACTCTTATTCTCTTTAAATGGATTAAACAGTAGCAGCACCTCTTTGAAACTCTCTGACATTGTTTTTTAAAACCCGGGGCTCTCCCAGTTTTCTTCTTATCTCTCTGGTCTTCATTACCTCTGACTCCTTTGCTCATTCCTCTCCTTCCTGTCCCATAAGTTGGAGTGTTCTTGCCAGCAGAGTCCTTGATCCTGAGCTCTTGTCTGTCTACCCTTTTCCTTCAAGGAGGATATCCTTCTGCCTCTCTCCTGTGGTTTTCTCAGCTGCCCTGGTTCCCCATCATTTATGCATCCTCTGAGTTTTTGTAGCATAGCCTATGCCTATCATGTAAGCTGTCAGCCACCTATTTAACTGTGTCCTATATATGTCATGTCTGTCTTCCCAGTCAGAATGTGACATTTGGAGGCCAAGCACTGAGACATTTCTCAGGCATTCCTACAGTGCCTGCTTTAAGTGTCAGAACAGATGATATAACCTGTACAGAAATACTTTGCAAACTATAACCTGCTAAATAAATATGAGTTTACTTTCATGTTGTTGTTGTTCAGTTGCTCAGTTGTGTCTGACTCTTTGCAACCCCATGAACTGCAGCACGCCAGGCTTCCCTGTCCTTCACTATCTCCCAGAGCTTGCTCAAACTCATGTGCATTGAGTCGGTGCTGCCATCCAACCATCTTAGCCTCTGTCGTCTCCTCCTCCTGCCTTCAGTTTTTCCCAGCACCAGGAGGTCTTTTCCAACGAATTTCTCTTCACATCAGGTGCCCAAGTATTAGAGCTTCAGCTTCAGCATCAGTCCTTCCAATGAATATTCAGGGTTGATTTCCTTTAGGATTGACTGATTTGATCTCCTTGCAGTCCAAGGGACTCTCAAGAGTCTTCTCTAGCACTGCAGTTCACAGGCTTTGGCACTCAGCCTATTTTATTGTCCAACTCTCACATCCATACATGACTAGTGGAAAAACCATAGCTTTGACTATATGGACCTTTGTAGGCAAAGTAATGTCTCTGCTTCTTAATATGCTATCTAGATTTGTCATTGCTTTTTTTCCAAGGAGCAAGTGTCTGTCTTTTAATTTCATGGCTGCAGTCACCATCCTCAGTGATTTTGAAGCCAAAGAAAATAAAAAATTTTTTATAGTATAAATTTAATAAAGTCTTTAATGAATAAAAGAAGAGTTCTTTTTGGTCAAAAGCCACCAGCTAGAAAAACAGGTAAGATATGTCTGTTATTGGCTCAGAACAATAATCCAACCTTGTCTTTTCTTGTTTTGTTTTGTTTTTTAAGGAACATTTAGAAGACTTTGAGATGCTGTCTTTTTGGCTTTCCAATACCTGTCATTTCCTCAATTGCCTGAAGCAGTACAGTGGAGAAGAGGTAGGGACGCCTGCCTGTTCTGTACTGACTGCCAATCTCCAACCTCCTCGTGAGCCAGAGTTTGCCAGAGGAATTAGGAATCAGACTGCCCAGTCCAAGGACATCCTCTGCTCCAACTGGTCTTCGGGCTTCCTTCTTACCCAGGAGACCAGCTTCACATCACCAGCTGAATGGAGGTCACAGGCAAAAAGATTTCCAGAAGGAGGTTTAGACTTCGGGCATGATACTAAACCTCAGTGTCCTTGACTTTCAAAATATGTGAGGTGGATTCTTCCTTGGTGGTCCACTGGTTGAGACTTCATCTTTCAAGGAGAGGGTGTGGGTTCAATCCCTGGCTGGGGAGAAATAAGTAAAGAAAATCCAACTTCTAACCAAAAGAAACACTGGGGCTGAGAGGGTCACAGACCAGTCCTTTTAAGATAACCTGGCATCTGTGTGGCTTTAACGGGAGGTATATCATCACCATTTTTAAAAATTTATTTATTTTTTAATTGCATCACCATTTTTAAAATCCTTTCTTTACCCTCTTTAACTGTGTATACAATGTTTTTTTCCTTGTCTGAAGATTTTTTAATTACTATATTTTTATTTCTAAAATTCCAATGGTTCTTTTTTACCTCTGCCTTTTACAATGCCCTATTCTTACCTTAAGTTTTTTTTTTTAATTTTACTTCTTTGAACATTATAAATGTATTACCATGTTCAGGCTGGGCTGCTGTAACAGAATACCACAGACTAGGTGGCCTAAACAACAGAAATTTATTTTCTCACAGTTCTGGAAAATGGAAATCTGAGATCAGGGTGCAAGCATTGGGTCACTGGTGAAAGTCCACTTCTGGACTTGAAGATAGCCACCTTCTCCCTGTGTATTCATAATGACCTTTCCTCGGTGCATGGGATAGAAAGAGAGATTGATCTCTCTAGTGTCTCCTTTTATAAGAACACTAATCCTATCAGATCAGGACTCCCACCCTTGTGACCTCGTTTAACCTTAATAACATGGTGACAGAGACCCCATCTCCAAATCTAGCCACAATGGAGGTTATGGCATCAACATATAAATTTGAGGGGGAAACAAATATTCAGTCCATAACACCCATATGAAAGTATTTCAGATTGGTCTATACTCTGTAACTGTAAAGTTATGAATCTCATTTATTGCATCTATCAACCTCTTACAGCAGTTTATTTCCTTGGATGCTTTGCTGTTTTTCCTATGAGCTTCCATGGGGGTTGTTTTCCAGTGTAATCTAACTCTGGAGGCACATATTTGTTGAAAAGTTAAACAGAACAGTAATATTTACAAATCCTTAGATTCAATCAACTGTCGATCATGTAGTACTATATAATACATAACTTAGTGAAAAAAGTCCACATGTAAGCAGACCTATGTAGTTCAAACACATATCATTTAAGGGTCAAGTGTAGTTAGTTATAGAAAATAAATGCTATCCCAAACATTAAGAATTCATTTGATACAGATCAGACATTATGTATAGGAGTTATAGTAGAAACTTATTGTAATATCATTAGATACAGAGATAGTATTTTAATTTTCTATGTGTCTACATTATTCTAATATTTATATGTTCAAAATTACTTTCAGGAATTCATGAAGCATAATAGTCCACATCAGAATAAGAATTGCTTGAACAATTTTGACCTTTCAGAATACAGACAGATTCTTAGTGATGTGGCTATACGAATATATCATCAGTTCATTATCGTGATGGAAAATAACATTCAACCAATAATAGGTAAGAAAAGAATCAATGACTAAGAAAGATTTATAATGATATTGAGACCTTAAAAAATAAATCCGCATGGAATATGTATTTGAAAAGCACATAATTTTTTTTAAGCCAATAGTAAAATAATTTATTGGTTTAGTCTTATCCTTTTCTGTCCCACCCTTCCCCCAAAGAAAACAACTAAGTCATGTTGACATAAGTGGTTTTAGTCACTAGGGTGATATTTAGTACTCATAGTAGCAGAAAAGGCCAGTGTGGTGGTGACAATCCAGATTGTGATTTGGTCATGTTTCCAGCGGTATAAGCAAACGTTCACACAAAAACGTTTACATCTCCCGAAAACAAGCACTCATTTTCAGAGGTGGTACAGCCATGATACTCAGAAAGAAAGAGAACCATTTTTTCCTCAAGTAATAAATATTTTTAGAGATTTTCCCTAACGACAATGCAAATAAGAGATTCACAATATCACCTAGATAAGTATGATTCTCTATTGTACCTTCAAAGAACATAATTTTAAAACAAGAAACTTTACTAATATAAATGCCCACTATTTAATTCTCTGATTGCTTAAAATGATTACATATATAAAAGTACATGGGTCATAGTTTTCTTTCTGTAAGGGGGATCCATCCTGTAGGGAAAGATTTGGGAGAACTGCTGCTAATTATGTGGCTAATCCTGGTTCTAAGCCAAGTATTTTAGAAATCCTAGAGCCCTACTCATGTATGCTTGTATA